AGGAAACTGAGTAATAGGCGGCACCCAAAAAGTTTGTGGCTGAACTCACCTAGAACTTAAGTTTCCCTGCTCTCAGCCTGGGGATCCAATACCCACGACGCTTCTCTCCCACCTCTGTCATTGCGCTCTTTTTTATTTTCATTTTTATTTATTTATTTGCTTTTTGAGATAGGGTTTCACTCAGCTCAGACTGTCCTGGAACTAGATTTGTAGACCAAACTGTCCTTGGACTCACAGAGATCCACCTGGGAATAAAGGTGTGTACTACCACGGCCTGGCTCCTAATGCTCCTTTTTGGGGGGACACCACGGGTGACCTCTGCCAATGTTTGCAATCATTTCATCTTCATCTTGGTGCTGAAGAGACTCTGTCCCTGGCTTCCTGCCCCTCCCCATCCTGTCCAAGTGCTTTCTCCTTGTGTCCCCCCCACCACATGCTGGCACACAGACACACATGTATATTCAGAACTGCAGGTGTCTAGAGCAACAGACCACAAGAGAAACCACATCGCCTTTGTTGACTCTGGAGGGAGGTAAAGGGGATGAGGGAAGAGACTTTGGTAGTTCTTAGCCTGTCCCATTCCTCACTGTCATCATCCCTCCCAGCTTGGGCTATCTGGACTGGTAGCCATGGCTGTAGTGTTGCCCTAATCCATCCACTCAAGTCCAGCCTAGAAACACGTGACACTTCTCCTCTCAGACCTTGAACTCCTAGAGTGGGGTCTGCCTTCATGCTTGCACCTCAAAGCCACACCCCCAACTTTACCCAGAATACTCACACAGCCTGTTGATCCTACCTACGCAATGTAACAGAGGAAGGTGGAGAGAAGATGAGTCCATATGTCTGGGTTCTGTGAGGCCAGGAACTGGTCATCTGCAGTGATATACAGAGATCAACAGAAACCTCAAGTAAGACCCTGGAGTGGCTTCTCTACTGTTTGGACCTGCTAGAGAAATTACACAGGCTCTGAATCAGGTACACTAGGATCAAGCTACTTGCTGACTCTGTGGGGTTAGGAAAATCATTTCCTCTTTCTGAACTCCAGTTTGCTCACTAAACTAAGGTGTAGTTATAGTGAGTTGTAAATGAAAAGACCCTGGACAATACAGGAAACACAGAGGGTGCTCAATAAAGCCTATATCATTTTCCTTCCACCCTTCTTCCCCTTATTTCTCCTTTTTGGGATGTATGTTTATTTGTGTATGTATGTGTATATGTGTAGAATACCTTCAGAGGCCAAAATAAGGTTCTGAAGCCCTAGAACTGGAGTTACAGGTAGTTATGAGTCCCCTGGGTTCTGGGAACTGAACTCAGTCCTCTGCAAGGACACTGAGCACTTTCAACTCCTGAACCTTCTCTCCAGCCCCTGATTTCTTTGTATTTTATTTGGGGCTCATGTGTGTATATGTGCCTGGTGTTCGGATGTGTGTGGGTGCATATGTGTATAGGTGCTGGTATATACACATGTGGGTGCACATGGAGGCCTGAGGTTGGTACAGATGTTTTTCTTAATTGCTCTGCCTGTTTCTTCTATTTCTTATTTTTAGTTCCAGGAAACCCTTTATTTGGAGTTGAGGATTTAACCTTCCCTGTTAATCTGAAAGCCCAAAAATAGTTGGCATTTGATCCTAGGCTCAATCCCAATTCCCCTGAGGTCTCCTGGGGTCCTGGGGGAATGAATACACTCTGGCTGGCTTTGTGAGGCATGTGTAAGAGAAAGTGCAGGCCAAGGGAAGACTTATAGCTGCAGTCAGCACATGAAGAAGGCTGGAATGGGTGTGGTCCCTAGTGCTCTGACACTTATACTTGTAGCTTTTCTGCAACTTTGAATCTTGTCCTTAAGCAGACACTTGTTGAATGAGCAAATGCCCTGTAACTTGTTGAGGAAATTCAGTCAGGTTTCTTCACATTTATGGGCCATACTCCATTCATGATTATTAAGAATAAGAGATCTGGAGGCTAAAGAGATGGCTCAGTGGTTAAAGGCACTTGCTATTCTTGCAGAGGACCTGGGTTCGGTTCCCAGCACCCACACGGCAGCTCACAACCATTGATATATTAACTCCGGTTATCTGAAAAAGCTACCTGGCTCCAGGAGAGCTGACAACGAACACTGGCCTCTGTGGACACAGGGGACACATATAACGTGTGTGTGTGTGCCTGCAGACCAGACACTCATATGCATAAGATAAAATAAACAGATCTTAAAAAAAAATAAGTGATCTGATGTTTGTCCATAGGCTGGAATAGGGCTGATATCTGGTAAACACTTGGTAAAGGGTAGCTTGCCAAGGCAAGAAGGAAGGGGAAGGAATAAAGAGAAGGACATGTGGTCCCTAAGTCAAAGGAAAGCAGAAAGGGGCACCTGTAGGCTTTGTGTTGTCCAGAGACCTAAGGAAGCTTTGAAGAAGCCAAGGCAGATCCTATGGGGACAGTCCCTTATACCAAATGTCTAAATGAACAGGCTGTGAGAAGTCTAGACTCAAGTTCTTTAGAAACTTCCATGGTAACCACCATAGCAAGGAAGTAGCCTGCATTTTTCTATCATATCTCTAGGGGTTCCTGGAGGCTAACATATGCCACTAGGGAACCTGGGACTTAGAAACTGGCTTGGAAATCCACTGCAGAGCATAGGTAAATCTTGCAGCAGAAGGAGGGAACCAGTTTAGCATCCCAGACACATACTCTCTGCCTACAGTTTGGGTACAGTGAGACCTGGAGTGTGCTGAAAGTTAGGCACATTGAGCATAGACAGGCAACCACACATGTTTATCCCAATCATTCAGAAGTCAGCAGTTAGGTTACAAGGAAAAGGCAGATTCACAAACCAATACATGAATGCTGAACCTGTAGAAATCAACAAACTAGGTCTCAAATCCAGCACTGTCACAGCCACGGCCACAGCAAAAGAAGACAGGTACGTGGGGGCAATGTATGCTACAGGAGGTGGGGAGAAACAAGAGAGACTGGAGGTCTGCTGTAACCAGTGGTTCTTCTGAAGGGCTAGGGCTACAAGGAGGGATTAGGAAGGAGGGTGCTCTGTTTTGGAAAGAGGGCTCAGTAGAAGGGCAAGAGTATCTTGCAGAGTCAATATGGGTAAATCGTTGGTCTGAAGGGTGTATTCCAGATGTCCAGCTGGAGGATGATCCTTGAAGGCCAGGATTACCTGTCATAATTCAACAGAGAATGCCCTGAGTTTGAATTCTATGCAAAGCACTATGAGAAACACAGCTATGGCTGAAGAAGTGCTTTCAAGCTTGACATCTTTTCTTGAATGCTTGTGAGGAAGATGAGATCAAGACTAGTAGACTAGTCAGGTGGTGGCAGCGCGTGCCTTTAATCCCAGCACTCAGGAGGCAGAGGCAGGCGGATCTCTGTGAGTTCAAGGTCAGCCAGGTCTACAGAGCGAGTTCCAGGACAGGCTCCAGATCTACAGAGAAACCCTGCCTCGAAAAACAGAACAAAACAAAAGACTAGTAGACTAGATGAATGAAAAACTTACAGTGCTAGGGTGGAGTTCTTCAAGGAAAAGGAAAACCCTTCCAGCTATGGGAATCATGAAACATTTCAAAGGAGGTGGTACTTAGAAGAAAAAGGGATTTCAAGGGCACAGAGGGCATTTGCTCTGTAGGGAGTGTCTTAGGCCAGGACTAGGGCGTGGGAAGTAGGAGGACATGATGGGGAACAGCTAGCGGACAGGACTGGCTGAAGTAGTAATAATAACTACCTATGAGGAGAGTAGCCGGAAGCACTGGGCAGGGATTCGTGGGGTACCATGTTGCGAGAGGCCATGGATGCTAGAAAAAGAGTTTGTGGTACAGGTGTGGAGGGGTTAAAATCAGCTGCTGAACATTCAGGGAGTGACAGGTAGTGAGACCTGATCTGTCATTGTGGCTGTTCAGTAGCCTGGTGAAAGACCCCTGAGGCCACACAAAACTCTGGTTTCCAAGACAACACCGCTTCAATGCTGTCTCCAATTCTAAAGATTCTGGGAGTTGCTAGGACTCATTGAGTAGAAGGTGATCAGAAGGATGCTGCTTTTCCTTGGCTGGGCACCTCAGATGCTGGAGAGCCCAGTGTTCCTGGCCCAACGGGTTGCTGGAGGCAATGGATTGATAGGCCAAGCCAGGCAGCCCAGTGGGAAGGTCCTCAGCCCCTGACCCTTGAATCTGACCTCCATAGTAGCCTAAGAAGAGATTGGGGAGAGGCAGGGAGGGCTGCAGTGCAAAGCCAGTCCTCAGCTGAGTTTATTAGCTGAGGGAGGGTTGGAGGCGTCTGCATTCCGACTCACAGACTGGAACATTTCTGTGATCCACTGTAATGCACTGGGGGACACTGGGCACATTGCTTAAGTTTGACTCATAGGGAGGGGGTCAAAAGGGGGGGGGTTATTGTGAAGGGAGAGGAATGGAGGAGAGGAAGAGGAGAAGATGGACGGAAATCCCTTGAGAAATGTCTTTGAAAAAAAAAAAAAACTTTCAAAAACTACACCACCCCACCCCCTTTTTTCTTTTAATAGGAACAGGCTGGACCCTTCTCCCCTCAGCAGGCATGGGGGGGGGGTACCACTTGGGTTGGACTGGGCAGTGATTCAAATCAGATCTTGCAGCTTTCCTGAGGCGAGTCCTGTTTGTGTGTGTGAGGGGTGGGATGGGGTGGAATGGGGTGGGGGCGTCGTCTGGGAGTCCTCGTTTGGGACTCTAAGCATGTTCTGTCGTCCCTATGTGTAGCTCCCTCCTCGTGCACCTCTTATGTGTATAGATGTGTGTCCAGACGTCCTTCCCCAAAGTGTAAATCACCCCGGCCTGTGTAAACATGGATGCACGCTCTTGTACGCTGTGTATGCACGGGTGCGTGCACTCAGGTATCTGGGTTTCCGGGAATTGTGCGCTGGGCGCAGCGCCGCGCGGCGGCTGGGGCTCGGCGACCGCGCGCGGGTCCGGCAGCGTCCCGCGTTCCGGGTTCGGCGCTGCCTCCCGGGGGCGGTGTGCCGCGCCCCGCCGCGATCGGTGTCTGCAGCCAGCCTGTGTGCCGCTGAGCAAAGCCTGCCGGGGTGGTGTGTCCCAGGGCCGCGAGCGCCGGCCCCCTCCCTCCCCTCCCCCTTGGCCCGCTCTCAGACTCAGATAAAGCATTTCCTTCCATTGTCATCCTACCCGGCCGGCCAGGCTGCCAGGGCCCTCCCCCTCCCGGCCCCCTCCCTTCCTCTCGCCGTCTCACAGTCGCTCTGCAGCCTCCGGCGACCGGGGGGATGTGAGGCCGGTGCCCCGGCCCCCCGCCCGCCATGAGCCCCCGGCTCTGAGGGCCCCGGCCCCTGGATGCACAGCCCCGGCGCGGGTGAGTACCGGGCGGCCGCCCCCGCCCCGCCCGCCCCGCCCTGCGCGCGGCACCCTACGCCGGTTGCCCCAGCTCCGGCAGCGGCTGCGGCTGGGTCTCCGGCTGGTCCTGCTGGCCGGTCCTTGGTGCGCGCCCGATTACGCCCGCTCGGCGGGGCTCTGGCCCGCTCCCGGGGCCCCGGGGCTGGTTCCGGGGCCAGAGAACTCCGGCCTCCTGCGGGGTGCCCACATCCGCCTGCTCCGGGGCAGCGACAGGCCCCGGGGAGGCAGTGGGAGGCCCGGAGCCGCCTGTGCATGGGCCGGGTGCCCCGACACCCTCCTCCCGGGGATCCGGGAGGCACGGACGGCCGCCGAGGCCCGGGGAGGAGGCGGTGCTCCGCGGCGGAGGGTTTGGAAACGGGAGGGTAAATGGTAGGACCCGCTGAACTGGGGACGGATTTCTGGGGCTGGACATCAGCGTCCCCATCTCACGTAGTCGGGTAGGGCCTTCTTCAGATTCAGTGGCCAGGGAAAACGACCCCTGGGCGGTATTGGGCTGGGAGATATCTGTGAGCATCAACCCCTATCCTTAATCACCCATCGGAGTGAAGAGACACCTGTGCCCAACTGAGCTGTGAGGGCAGTGCCCTAAAAGGTGTGAGAAGGTGGGGGTTGCAGGCTGTGTACTGAGCTGTAGGGAGGTGGGAAGCGGAATATGTGCCCCCAGGCCGACAAGTGTGAGAACTCTTGTTCTCACAAATCTGGCAGCTGAGCCGTCTTTCCACTACCACAGTTTCTTGGCCAGTAAGTTGGAAGAAAACCTGGGTCCTGCAGGTCACCTAATGTGCCCCACTTCCTTCCCACTGGCTGCCAGTATGGGGCCGATGCAGGCCGGCCGCTGGGGCCCTTCACTGTCCTTGCTGGCTGTCCAGCATTCCCAAAAGCCTCCTGCATCTGGCGTTGGCTGGCTTGCTGCTAACTATCCCTTCCCACATCCCAACTCAGCATCTGCTTGAGGCCCAGCTCGGCCTGCCAATTTTTAGGGCGATAATAGGACATTGGCCCTCGGTGGCCCTGATGGGAGCTCAACATCTGGAATCAGGAGCTAGTCCCCCAGACTTTTACATAGACTTATGGGACGTTGCTTCAGTTCCTTGCCCAGCCATTGGAGACTATGACTCTGGTTGGTCCCTACCCTCTAACTTGTACTTAGGTGACCCCTTTCTTCCCAAGAGGGCTCCAGTAGGCGGCCATACATGCCTGCTTGATATGCCGAGCCTTTCACACCTTTCCAGCTGCTCTGCCAGCTGCTCAAACCACCCCTTCATTGTCACCTCCTTGCTCTCTAGTTCGCCTGCCATATCCCCTCAGTAACTAAGTCATTTTCTTCGTTACAGTCACTCCTGGGGGGAACTGAGGCACAGAGCAGTTCCACTGTGTGGTGCCCAGATAAGTGAGATTGGAACAAGTCTGGACCCACCCACTGGGGCTGGGGCTTGTCCCCCTACCCTTAGTCCTCTGACATCCCTCCCAAGCTAGCTTTGGAAAGGTTGGGAACTGTATTTCTGAACCCTCTGTCACTCAGTTCGGCCCCTTGGATGGGTATTCTCTGCATATCAGGGACATAAACTGAGATTTTTGAGGTGGAGCAGGTTTTACACCTAAGCTGGTCAGCCCACTTAAGCTCATTTTCCCCACAATTAACACCATGGGGGTGGATCCTAAGTCCCCTTCCCAGAGCTCAGAACCGGAGGGACTGCCCCCCAAATAACAGGTCAATGTTCAGTAGGGAATAGGGGGACAGGTGGGGAGTATTATGTCCTTGCCTCAGGAATAATGGATATAGCGCCTGGTGGCTTGGTTGACAGGGGATGGGCAATGAGGACTCTTTTACAGCTCTAGGCACACTTCCCAGGACTGGGGAGGTGAAATCCATCATCACTTCTCAGCCTTCTTTGCCCCTAGCTTTTCTTTGAGAACTAGTAGTTTGAAGCTGGCAGAGGCCTGAGAGAAAGATGAGCAAGACCCAGGGTCACCCAGGCAGGGAATGGCACCAACCAGACCTTCTGCCCCTGCCAGTGCCCATGCTTGCCCAAGCTCCCCCTTAGTCAGATGTGGTCTGGAGCCTCCAGAGGTGTCTGGGTATTGCAAGGCTTGAGGGCATGTCCCCCCTGGAGGCGCCAGCTTCAGGACTTCAAATTTGTATATGTTGGATTTGTTCACTAGATGGGGCACTTCCTCTGGGCCAGGAAGCCTTGATTTCCTGTGTTGGGGGAGTAGGGACTAGAGTGGGGGGCCCACTGGGCCATCCCTGGTGTTGTTTGGAACCACAGAAGGGCAGAGCTTTTGCTAGAGGCTGTTTCCCTAGTCCAGGGGAGGCAGGAAGGAGAGGTCTGGCTGGGAGGCCCAGGCTGAGGCTGGAGAAGGCTCTTGAGTGCTGTGAGATGGGGGTGGGTAACACAGCAGGAAGCATGGTCAGCAGGTGACCCTGCCGGGTATTGTGTTCCTTATAATATTTTCCCTGTTTCTGTGGTAACGTTCCATGGGGGCCTTAGGCCTTAGGGCTACAGGAAGGTGCTCCAGACAGCCCTTTCCTTAGTGGCCCACATACTGGGAGTCCCAGGAGGGGGTCTAGCTTACTCCCTAATCCTTCTGACTCTATAGGACCTGGGCCTGGGAATCCAGACAAGTAGCCTGACCAAGCACAGACTAAGGGGGTAGGGGGGTCGGGGGGGGGGCAGGGGCTGAGTAGAGGCCCTACAATATCTCCTGGCAGGCAAGGGAAGTGAAGTAGGGTGGACTTGGGGAGGGCTCCAAACAGACTGAAAACACTGACTTCAGCTTCTGCTCCTCTCATCCAGATCTTTCTCTCCACTGCCCTCCTCCAGTCAGTCATTCAAGGGGTGGAGGACAGCCTGCTGCCTGGGGCAAGGGGTGGGGGTGGCAGAGGCAGGGGGGATGTTTTCATCAGCAGAGCATAGCTCCCTTGGTTCTGGACTTGTTCCCAGAGGCAAAATAGATTCAGGATAGCATCTGTTTAGTGTGAGTCTCCATGTGATATGTGTGTATGCACTGGGTGTGTGGTGGGTGTCTGAGTTTGCCCAGGGCTGTATATGTCAATGCGGTGGTTCCGTGGCAATCTGTGATCCATGTGCTGGCTCTGTTGGGTGTTTGGGGGGTATGCACACATGTGGCACAGATGTGTGTCTTCTGTGTCTGTGTCTTGTGCACCTTTGTAAGTTATGGCCCTGTGTGAGGTATATAGAGCCTATGGATTGGTTTTAGGGGATGTGAACCTATATAGGAGCTGCTTTTTCATAAGTGTCCAGATGTTAACCCTGTCCATAGTGTTCTCTCTCTCTCTCTCTCTCTCTCTCTCTCTCTCTCTCTCTCTCTCTCTCTCTCTCTCCACCTTTCTTCTAGACAGGTTATCTCTGTGTAGCCCTGGTTGTCCTGGAACTCATCTTTAGACCAGGCTGGCCTCAAATGCACAGAGATCCTCCTGCCTCTGCCTCCCGAGTGCTGGGATTAAAGCTGTGTGCCACCATGTCCAGCTTGGCGTCCATGGACTTTAAATGTGCTTTACTGGACCAGTTGCTCCAGGATCATGTGAGGAATGTGTTAAAAACACACTCAGGCTCTATTCCTACTGTCTGTCCAGGTCTACGGGAGGGGGGTGAGGAACCTGCATTTTCACTTGCTTGGTATGTGATTCTGATGCCAAGCTAGGCTCTTCAAGTACAGACCTGGGCCAGCCTTTTCATTTATTTCTATGGAGGACACAGACCTGCAGGTGTGTGGCATGTCTGAGGTCACCGGGATATTCAGATAAAGAAGTCAAATACAATGCAAGTCTCCTAAGACTGGCCCACGATTTAGTGTGGGTACCTGTGTGTACATTCATGCCCAGCATGGTGGAGGGGACCAGGCAGTGCCATCCGGTGTAGATGCTGCCTCAGAGTGGCACTGACTTTTCCTTTTTGGCTTTGTTCTTGTTACTCTGAAACCCTCAAGAATCACACTGGCAGCCAGGGAACCTCATGTACAGAGCTGGTCACTCAGCAGTTCATCCATTTGTTAACAGACTTGCAGAGCTCTGTACCCTGCACTGGACAGGGAGGCGCAGTGAGCACAAGGGTATGCATCTGAGCTCAGGGTGCTACCACTCTACTGGGGAACGAGACAGTATGGGCAGGAATGAGGAGATGAATGGTTACACATGGTGAGAAGCCCTACGAAGGAAATGAACTGGGTGCAGCAATAAAAAGCAACAAGGTGGGACTTCCTTAGACAGTGTGGCCAGGGGAGGTCTGAGTGACATTGAGACCTTTTCTTCCCAGACTAGAGTTGAGTCCACAGAGCCTGCTAAACCATGCTTAGAAGCTCCCTGGACCCAGGTGAGGGATCGGGACTGAGCTCTAGCTGAGGGCTTCTTTCCTCATGCAGCCCCCATGTCCCCCAGGTTGACAGAGGGACAGAGAAGCAGGAGTAACCAGATAGGGCTCAGGTTAAGGTTAAAAGCTTGGCAGACTGTCAGGAGCTCCCAGGCACTGCCCATTCCTGACCCTCCTGTTTCTCTTCCCTCCTCCCTCATTGCCTTCCTACCTTTTCAACCTGGGAACCACTGTGCCAGGCCCCTCCCTTCTGGGTGTAGCTGGCTGCCCCTATAGCCACTGGGATTTATTTATCTAGTTCAGGGTCATCAAGGAGAGGGGGCAAGGTCAAGAGTGGACCCGGGTTCTGGGAGATAACAGAATCAGAAATAAGGGGAGGGGGTAAAGGGAGGGGCCATGTGTAGGGAAGACCCGAGCATAGGAAGTTTTCTTTCTGTGCCCTCATTATTTGCTCCACAAGCTGAGTGACTCTCAGACCTGTGGGGCAGAGGGGTCTGGTTCAAGCCACCTGCTTTACTTCCGCCAGAAAGAAGTGCCCCCTTGGGCCCACCTGCAGGCCTGCCCCTACAGCCCTCTCAGGAGATTAACTTTCACATCAGCAATGCGGGCATAACCTTCCTTCTGTCTT